TGTTTTTTATCTCTCGCTTCCTCCCACCACTCGCGACGTCGCTTCCCTCCGGTTGTGATTTTCAATGGCGGCGAGGTTTCTTTCAACTCCGGCGTTGTCACTGATTTTGGCAAACCATGATGCGGCTCGATGTGTTCTGCAGGGGTTTCGATCGTGTCTGGTCTTGCCTTATTTCTTGACCGCCACCACCGCCTTTTGACATCATTTCTCCGGCTCCGCCTCTCCTTCTCCACCCCCTTTGTTCTTCTGTTGAATCTCGCTGCCTCCACCTAGCTTCAAAAGAGTACTTCACCTGCGATTGTGTCGGGGAGGCTTGCTGCCGGTTTCAGATCTAGTTTCGCCGATGCGGTGGCTTCCCTTGGCCAAGCTGTGTGAAGAAATCGACTCGTCCTCTGTCGGACCTATTCTCTGTCTCGTTCTCGTTGAGTTTGGCTTAGAAGGCGAATCCAGAATCGCATCATTGGGTCGTTCTTCTCGGAGGCAAAGACTCTGCTTTCGCTTAGGTTAGATACTGTTCTGGTTCTTTGGTTGGCTTTAAGATCTCTAATAGGATGTCTCTGGTGAACTAGCTACGTGTTTACTTCCTTTGGGTTTTTGCTTTGCTCGATGATTGTGATATGGTTCCCTCTCGGCTCAACCATTGGTGTCGTTAGCTTGTTTTTGGAGTTCTTGGTCCAGTGTGGCAAACTGTGTGGTGGTTGTGGTGAGCTCCACCACTGTCTCCGGTAAACTTCATTGGATCTGGCTGATATAATGCGTTTTTGGCGCATTCTAACCCTTATTTTGTAGGTTTTTATCGAGTCTTTCACTCTCTATCGAGTCATTATAGGTACAAAAAGCGGCTGAAAGCAATGACTGGAACTTGCAATCAGATTTGGCTAGAAAGGAATGAAGTTGGACCATTTTTGGACATTCTGGAGAAAAGGAACACCTAGTACGAAAGAGGGAGCACCTGCTCCCAGCAGAGTCATTAATGGGCTTTTTACTAAACCTAATTTTCCAACCCTATTTTTGGGCCAGCCGTAATGGGCCTTTAAATAGGTATTTTTGCTGGATTTTTAAAGAGAGCCACGACTCAC